CTGAAGATCATGTGACACTTTATACTGGAGTAATGATGATGGAAATTCAGCTTTGCATCACAGAAATAAATTACATTTTAAAGTGTATTAAAATAGAAACCATTATTTTATATTGTAATAACATTTTGGAAGATTACTGTTTTTTTCTGTATTTTTGATCAAATAAATGCAGCCTTGATGAGCATAAGAGACTTATTTAAAAAACAGTACAAGTCTTACTGATCCCAAACTTTTGACCGGTGGTGTATATATACAGTATATATATATATTTATACAACAGTTCGTTCTGGTTCTCAAATCTGATTGGTTGAGAACCGTGAGATATTGTACTGGTATAGCTACAGGAACGCCCTTTCACAATTTTGTATCACTCCGCTTGTTCTAGCCGGGTCTATGTTTTTTTTTTTTTATTATTCACTGAGCTAATCGTAGAGTACGTTAGTTAATATAAGAAGAAACGTCTAGCTTCACGGTCTCTCTCTCTCTCATTTTGGATGCACGTCTGGAGCTTTGAATCCGTGGCGGAAGGAAGTAGTTCCGCACAAAAGAGGGTTTTATTAGGCACTCCGTTGTTTCTTGTTTAATTACACATGTTCCGTCGAACTGTTGTAAAAACGCAATATCACTATTGCTCATATATGGCTGCTGTGTGTCATGACAAACCGGCCCCCGGCCTTCACTCGTGCCCCCTCAGAATAAAAACAGTGCATGACGCTCCTGTCTTCCAGTATGGATTTTACTTCTAGTTTAATGAAGGTCTACCCAAGATTACTTCAGCATCATTTCGCTCCCAAGGCTTACGTTGACTGTTAGAGCCATTGGCGTAAATCTGATTGGTTGTTTGTTTGTTCTGGTGGCTGTAGCAATGGCGGTGCTGCCACTAAACACAGGATGTTGCATTTGGTGAGAAATGCTCTATCTGAGGCTTATGAGGCTCGTGGGTTATCTTGGCCTCTGGGCATTCATGCTCGCTCTGCGAGGGGTGTTGCTTCTTCCCAAGCTTTTTCTAGAGGTGCCAATCGCACATACACACACTGTAACTAAGCATTTGATGTATTGAAGTGCTTCTTGCCTTTAACACACAGGAAGTATTAGTAATTCACCAAACATAGCATAATACTCAGTACTTTCCTCTTTGACTGGCTGCCATTTGAATCACAGTTATGGCCTCAGGATTTGTGACTAAATCCAGCAGCAGCTAACACACACAGACACACACACACACACACACACACTGTAACTAAGCATAACACTGCTCTTTAATGGACTGACTGAAGTCTAATTTGAATCTGTTGTAGTGTTCTTCTCTTGATGTGTGATGTGTTTTTCTGTCAGAGGTTATGCTGTGGCTAGCAGCAGTGATGACCGGATGAATGAACCCCCGACCTCGCTGGGTCTCGTCCCCCATCAGGTCAGTTATGAGCTCCTGTCCAGTGTCTAATATACATTTATTTGTCATTTTAAGAATGTACTTTATTATTATGTAAATACCCTGCTGAACAGATGAGCATTGCAGATTGTTGTGTTTTGTTCTTTGTGGGGATGTAATCATGCTCAGCATGAGATGAACTGGCATTGAAATTCATGCTGACTTCTAAAGAAGGTTTTTGTCGCTTCAGTCATTTACTTGTCTGCCACAGTAATGTTAATGTCTTTGAATTATGCAATTAATTACGATTAGTTCACTGGATTAAACACTGTAGTCGATTGACATGCCAATGACCAGTAAAGGCTGGAATACAGTACATGACTTTTTCCCTGATTTTTGCCCTGATTTACAGTCTGGACAAATTGATGTTAGATGCTGAAAGTGCAGTTAGCTTCAGACTAAGATACAATCCAGTTGGAGGATATCAAACATGTTTTCAAATCATTTAGTTATCATTTGTCATGGGTCTTCTAGCAACAAGGCACATGTTTCTGCTTGAGTTTATTGTGTTCGGAGCGACTTGAAAGTCTGTTGCCCAGTTTTTCCTCTCTAACTATTTACATGGTCGGCAAGTTTGTCCGCTTTAAAAACACAACCAATATGATGCAAAACATGACAGCCAATTGTAATGTATTAGATATCTAATATAAAGTTATGTGAATATTGATTTTGGACCAATGAGATTTCACTGTGCAAAGACAAAGCAATTGAAATCAAACGATCAGCAAAACGTGCTGCATCTTGTCGTGCCTGTGGCCGGTTAGGAGAAAATCTCAGATTTATATAAAAGAGAGCTTTCATCATTTTTTGCTTTATCGCATCTCTAGTTTTCCTTTGTATTCTTTATGTTCCTTCCCATAGCTCTGTCACTCTTTGCCCGACTCATCAGCACTCATTGTTTGCACCTGTGTCTGGTTAACCCTGTCTGCTCAGCTTATATATAGCCTGGTTCATTCAGTCATTCATTGTGAAGTCTTGCATGTGTTATATACTGCATTTCTGAGTCTTGGCTTATTCTGCCCATTGTTTTGGATTACTCTTTGTCTGTGTTTCTTGTTGTTTGGACGGTTTTGCTGGTAAAAGATTTTTGCCTGTGTTTGGATCATGATTGTGGATTATCCTCTGAATAAACACTGTGTTCGGATCCTCAGCCTTTGTGTTCATGACACAAACAGGAGTTCCAATCTGAAACTATATATGTGTTTGTCAGTATATGAACAGAAGCTAAATAGAATCATAGAGAAGATGGCTAGTTTTTTCAGTCATTGCCGGGAGGTGAATCTCATAAACCTGACATTTGACCTGTGATCCAATTGATGATTCTGAAATGGCCAGAGCTTTTGAAAAGTTGTGATGCATTTTAAGCAAATGTATGAGACTATGTTATGTAGGCCTGTCGCAATAATCAATATATCGACTTATCGCGCAATATATGTACATGACCTCAATAATTTTCGGTGACGCAATATATCGCCCATTATATTTACTTAAAAATTAAGGTCACCATGTTTTGTACATTCCACTTGCACCTGTGTCTTTTGCAGCTTCTCATACATAACGTGGTATAGTTGGTGCTTGTTCAAATTTTTTTGCTTCAACAAAAAAAGTTTCATCTGCAGATATGGTAAAGTTTCATCTGCAGATATGATCTTGTTTAGGGATCTGTGCCTTTGTGCATACGGACATCTGATTGCTAAGTAGTGATTGTGTTTTTCAGCAATAAAGTGCACCGTTAATGTACAGAGAAAAGAAGGTCAGGGAAAAATCTGTAGATGGAAAAATCTCCATACAAGTTCTTTATGCATTTTTCTTTTTTTCTACTTGTTACTTTGCACTTTTTGTTAGAAAATGTTTATTTACTATTTATTCAAGTTTTTTAAGGTATCTAATATTTTGATACTTAATTTCCATGATCTAAATATTCTTAAAAATTAAAAGTTTGTTGTCATTTGGAAGTGTGTAGGCCTTCTTGCATTATTATGCTGTTACTTTATGATTATATATTCAGTGGCATAAAATGGTATTTAAAATGACAATAATATCGCTTATTGCAATTATTTCTGGGGCAATATATCGCACAACAAAAAGTTGTTATCGTGACAGGCCTAATGTTATGTGATAATAAAAAGAGAGAAAAAAAAAGCTAAAACTTTTTGGGACGTGGGGTCGTTCACTATTGTCTCCTGTGTTATTAGATAGCAACTGAAATGAAATGGAAAATTGAATGAGGAAGACGGGAGTAAATCCGTGGGCTAATCCTTCATGAAAGCGGTTGATGGCTCATACCGTAGGGCTTTGACGCTTATCGTTGCACACTTGGGGACGTTCACCAGCTTTATGAGTCTCTAGAGTCAGAGAGAATGAAAAGGAAAAGAGAGAAGATGGACTTGTGTATAGAAAGTGTTGAGGGGGAAGAGAATGCTTTTAAGCTCAGCTGTTTGAGCTGCTCTTGACCTGCCACTCCAAATGAAATTCCTTTTCATTGCCTGAATGGATTGACGCTGGCAGGAAGATGCACGTGCGACACTACCTTTCACAGGCAGGAGAAGTATTAAAGGGGCCATGTCCAATAATTTATAGCATTTTATTTTTTTTCAGCAAGTTCAACTTATAATGTCAGTCAAGGTTCCTTGCAGCATAAAGAGATATACATGACTGTTTCTACAATCTCTCTGACCCTTTGAATTTACAGCTGCCGCTCCAAACCTGTATGACAAAAGGAGATGTTTAGTGGAAGGTTCACGCTGCTCCTTTCCATACAGTGATAGTGGATGGGGACTGGGATGGTCAAGCTACAGAAATGACAAAAAAGCTGCAAAAATCCATGGAAGTCATTTGATAGCTTATCTGCTCCTCTTTCTCCATGTCAGATCTCATTAAGCTTCACATATAATGTGTCACACCCGAGTGTTTTATAGTGACTATTTTTAGTCCTTTTTGAAACGCGACAGTGTCTGTCCCTGTACTTTCATTTATTGGAAAAGAACAGCCAGGAACTTAAACAAAACCTAATTTAGTGTTCCATGAAAAAAACCTGAAGGATTGTGTTGACTGAGCTATTCGTTTACATTCCTGTAGCTCGAACTGTAGAGGATAGCGCTAGCAAGGTCATGGGTTCAATTCCCAGAGAATGCATCTGATAAATGAATGTAATGTGATGTTTAATGCGGTGTTATTTAGCGACTTGGCCCGTCCCAGTGATCGACAGTGTGAATTACGCCTACGCAGAGGTTAGCCAATCATATCAGAGCCCATTTAAGTACTAAAGTCTTAACGTTCAGAGAATTCAATTTTTTGGTGATCTATCCCTTTAAGATATTAGCATTTGCATGACCTCTGATATGGGCCAAGTTACTAAATTGTTGTTGATGTAAATGTGGGTGGCCATAATAATGAGCTCATGGTTTTGATGTCACAAGCAAGGAGATTTTTGAGCGTGATGCCATTTAGTTGAAATAATCGGTCTGGATGGATAGGGCAAGAAGATGTGAGGTGTGAAATTTAAAGCTTGTGTGACTTGAATGCATTATGTATTCATAAACCTGGCAAACAGAACACATGCAGCGACTGGATCATTATGATCCCTGACCTCATAAATTGTTTTGCCGGGATGAACATTAGGGCTTGTGTGAAAGTGATTCTGATTCAACATAACAGTTCCAATTCCCCCTTTTTAATTAATCCTAATAGCTTGTAATGAGTCTTTTATATCAGTTCTTTAAAAAAAAAAACAGATTTAAACAAGTCATTTTTTTGAGTCAGGCTTTGCTGGGCACCTTCAGTTCATCACGTTGAGTTCAGACTGCGTGCTCACAGCTCAGCAGAATCATTTGTTTTGCTGGGATGCTGTGAAACACAGTCTCAGTGCGGTTCTCTGTCCAAATCAGTGAAAGAACACAGATGTTCAAAACCCGCGAACAGAACTTAATGTCATCATTTTGTTTCAAGTATTGGAACTGGTTCCGAATAAGAACCGTTTTAATTTAAAAACCTGTACTGTTTTTCATATGCACTGTACGAAAAAAAAAAAGGTTTTCAAAGTTGTAAATAAAACAAAGATTATTGGAGTACATTTTACAAAAAATATGGTAACACTTTCTATGAAGCCCGTATTTATAACACATTATAAGGGCAAGGCATTATAATGAATGCATTATAAAAATAATTTAAAAAACTTATAATATGTTGTTTCATATCATAAATAATCATAACAACAATTATAATACATTATAAAACTTACTTATTTGTGGTTATAACGTTTATGAGTATGATTATGTATAACACGCAAATAAACACCATGTTAAATCCAGGTAATATCTCATATCTTGACATTATTTATTTAAGACCTGTAGAGTATCTTACTGATATTACAATAAATATAGTTAAAATCAAATGTGCCATATTACACTCATCTAAACAGATCTCTGATCTTACAGCTGTTTAAGAAAAAAAAATATTTTTATTATTATTATTGTTGTTATTATTTATAAGTGGTCTTTGTCTGCTTTAAATAAAGTAACAAGTTAACAACTGCAAGATATGAGATTTATAATATATCATAACTATGGGAAATATAATCCATTGTGAGTTAAGTGGATGCATTGTGTTCATTGTGTATTATAAATCATCATTAAACTCTTAAAAGCTATAACCACAAATAAGTAGATATTATAATGCATTACAACTGTTGTTATGATTACTCATGAGATGATACAACATATTATAAGGTTTTTATAATACATTATTCATTCATTATAATGCCTTAAGAATACTCTTATAATGCATTATAAATACGGGCTTCATAGAAAGTGTTACCAAAAAGACCATTTGAGTCTTTCTACTAAAAATCTCAATGTGCTGGGTTTTTTTTTTTTTTTTGCATTTATTTGTGAAATGTATGTCTGTTTTTGAGTGAAAAATGTTTCAAAGTAAATCCTACCTCTTTTTTTTTTTTCAGTGTATGATTCCTTTTAAAGGACACCATGTAAAAACACCAGCATATATTCCGCTGTGCTTGCGCGCTCTTATATGAATGATACATATTATATGTAGTTGTTTATATTACTATTTGTTGCAACTTCCAATCTCACTATAATTCATAAAGTGGCACAGCAGGACCCCCTGCCTGTGTGCTGAAGCTTAGCACAGCCTTGTAGCAAGAGCCCCCCACATGCAACGAACCTCACACACACACACACACACACACACAGTCACACACACACACACACACACACACTGTCACACACACACATACACACTGTCACACACATACACACAGTCACACACACGCACACACACACACAGACACACACACTCTCAGAGCACCACACACACACACACACACACACACACACACACACACACACACACACACACACACTCTGTCACACACAGTCACACACACACACACACTCTGTCACACAGGGGACTAATGACGAAGCTACAGACGTCAAAGAGCTGCTCTCTGGGTTATTAGCTCCACCAGTATGCAGCATTCATATGCCCCTTCAGAAATAATGCTCCCCTCCTCAAGAACCCATAACTGCAAATATGTGACTCCTTACACATAATGCGATTAATCAGAAAAGCTCTCTTGACTGTGTCTAATCTCAGCACAATGCCAGATGTTGGCGAACAGGACACATGCGACTGGGTCATTATAATCCCTGACCTCTTAAAGTGTTCTTGAAGGGATTTAGTGTTCTGACCTTTTTTGCATTAATGTTGCATTGGGCTGAACATGACAGCATGGCACACAGTGATGATGGGTGATTCGTTTCTCTTTAGCTCACACTGCACCCTGCTGGATGTGTGAGGGACTGCAGCGTATCTGCTCTGAGGGTTTGAAGGTTTATCTGTGCTGTTTTTCTAAACCAGCACTCTGTGATTGTCTAGTGAGTAATATTATCATAGTGCGCATGAGAGTAGTGCCTGTCAGAGCTGTGGTGTGATGAAGCAGCATCTCTTCCCTGTTCATCAGCCATAACAAGCAACATGCATTTTATTGATCATTTGGTTTATATTCCTGTCATGTTGTGCCGCTCCACTAACTGTTAAAAAAACTGAGAAAAAAAATCTTGCTCCACATATATGTATACTATTGAAAAGTTTGAGCTCATTTTTTTAAAGAAATTAATACTTTTATTCAGCAGCGATGCATTAAGTTGATCAAAAGTAACATCTGTAATGTTACAAAAATGTCTATTTCAAATAAATGCTGTTCTTTTGAACTTTCTTTTAATCTGTGAATCCTGAAAATAAAATGTATCACCGTTTCCACAAAAATATTGTGCAGCACAGCTGTTTTCAGCATTGCTAATAATCAGAAGTGTTTCTTGAGCAGCAAATCAGCATATTAGAATGATTTCTGAAGATCATGTGACACTGAAGACTGGTGTTCAGCGTCTCGATCAAAGACTTCATGGATCCTGAAGCTGAACCTACAGCCTTTCAATTACCGGCCCAGATGTTTAATCACTGAACACACCCCTACAAAACCTTAATGCAGTGGCCCCAAAAAACTCTAGAACAGTATTTGAAATGTATGGATTTCATTGCATTAGTGACAGGAGATTATCACCAAGTGTCATGTGGAAACAAATGACTTCATGAAGTGTCAGTGAGTTTGAATCAGCTGGTGGTTTGCTCGTTTTTAGTGGCTGCATGAAGTCAGTTCTCCTGAAGGTGTTGTAAAAGAGGAACCAACATCACATGAACCACCAACATCACCTACTAACCACAAACAAACACAAAGTCTTCATGTTCAACACGACATCTGTTGTTTTAACATTTCAGAACTAGTGGGTTTTTCTTTCTTTGCAGTTATTGACACTTGCCTGTTTTTTTTGCATTGATATTCTTTTTAAGGTGTTTGAAGTGCTGCTGTATGTAAATGCTCTGATGTAATCTCATGCTCAAACTTCACGATTGCAGTCCCCACCAATTTGATTTAAAAAGTAATCAGATTTGAATAGATTTGAACAGAAGCACATTGGATGATTTTGTTGGATTTACATTAAAGTGTCTTGCGCTGGAGCGCATGGACTCATGGGTAGTGCGTAATGCATCAGCGCCTGTAAATGCCTGGTAATCTTCATGCCGAAGCTTCAACCCCTCTTATCTTCCCCTACGGCTCTTTCTTTAATTTGCTTTCAATTAAGATCAGCTGGCGACAGTAACTCCAGAGACGCATATATGCAGTGAGAGCAACGTGACTGTAATTGAACACAGCGCTCTATCATTTGCCGGCGGCTTGCTCCACTCTTCTGGAATGTGCTGTTGGATGAGCGTGGCGTGGCTTTCATACCAAAACCACCAATAATCATTTACATTTACTTGTAGAAAAGTGTCTGTTTCTTGATGGGAAGTGTATGTGTGCAACATGAGTTTATTTCTTCTAGATTTATGGAATCCTTTTGTTTTTATAATAGTGTATTTAAAGATCATGTTCATGTCCAGGTCATGTGATATATATATATATATATATATAATATTTTTTAAAACATTTCACAAAATATTACTTAAAAAATAATGTCTAGTGCGAAATATTTTCTCATTTTTCTACATTTACAATAAAAGATAGAAATCTTATAATGAAACCTCTGGAAAATTATGCCTATGCCTTTGCATATGCGCTATTGTCATAAAAATGGTCACAATATAACAAAAAAATCTTAATGATCCTAAATAGACTTCATTTGCACAATGCAAAACATAATTTCTTACAATTTGTTGGCATAATTACATTTTTAAGCTTAAATTTGTGTGTGTGTGCGTGTGTGTGCGTGTTTGTGTGTGTGTGTGTGTGTGTGTGTCTGTGCATGTGTCTGTGCGCGTGTGTGTGTGTGTGTGAGTGTGTGTGTGTGTGTGTGTGCGTGTGTGTGTGTGTCTGTGTGTGCGTGTGTGTGTGTGTGTGTGTGTGTGACAGTTTGTGTGTGTGTGTGTGTGCGCGTGTGTGTGTGTCTGTGTGTGCGTGTGTGTGTGTGTGTGTGTGTGTGAAATAAGGCACATGAATTCTCTTTAACAGGTTTAAAATTGGATGTGATTTACAATACTTTAACTTTAATTAACATTAATGTAAGTTTGTCATTTGAAAGATATAGTTATGTAAGGTTCTTCCTTTCAGAAATATTTAATATTTATTTCAAAATAAACATTATTTTCAGAAGATTTTATTGATGATTTATTAAAATCCATTGCATTTTTTTCTCTGATGATCAAAAATCCAAGTAATGTAAAATTTTTTCATAGACGATGTATGACAAATCAAGCTGAAATTTTCGTTAATACTCTTTTTACATAAGATCAGGAAAAGCCATGAAATCTTACACTAATAAATGTTAAGTATTTTTTGAGCTATTAAAAGGGCTACAGAGCATGATGGTTAAGATACAACAGAAGATGGTTTTTATAATGGTTACTGCCTGCTGTCTTTACTGCCACACACCAGGTGGCGCTAGAGATTAAGGAACATTTTTCCATACTGATACTGTAGCTTAAAAACATTTGTTTCTTTACAGATTCGAGGATTCCTGTCAAGATTTGACAACGTTCTTCCTGCCAGTTTGGCGTTTGACAAATGCACCGCATGCTCACCGATAGTAAGTGACAAGTTTACATGCTTTTGATTTGGGATTGAGATGAATGCAACTTTATTAGAAATGTTACGCAATGCCTGAGTTGTGTGCATTGTGGTTAAAGATAAAATAAAACAAAAAAAACAATTGTAATAATGAAATAGTTTAGAGTTAAACTAAGATAATGAATATGCTTGTGTAAGGAGTCGTGTAATGGTATCTTCAGCATGTTGCCGGTTCTTCTGCAGATAATGAAGTATCTGTAGATGATGTGTGTGTGTGTGTGTGTGTGTGTGTGTGTGTTAGAGAGGCCATGTGTTGTGAATTAGGCTCCTTGTTGATGTCACAGCTGTATGTGAGTAATTAGGGCTGAATTGAAATGTTTTTTCCCAGCGGTCGCGCTGTTGTCGACGGGTTCACGTCTCATAAATCTGCTCAATCTCTTCTGCATGTGTGTATGTGCTCTCCCAGTGGTTTCTCTCTCATTTAGCAGCTCTGTAGCCACTCCTTCTTCACAAACACACACTCGTACCTGAACACAGTGAGTCTGAAGGCTGACGGTGAGCTGTGGCCGTTCCCTTCCCCCTCTTCTACTCTAGCTTCACTCACTTTCTCTCCCAAGTTCTCTCTCTCTCTCTCGCTTTCTATTTTCTTCGTGCTGTAAAGACATAAAAGACTCATAAAACGTCTCAGATCCTTACACTTTGATGCAAGACTGTCAGGGAACTGTGTGAGGTAAATGTCTCGGGGTTCCTGTCCAAGTCTTTTAAAGGAATAGTTCACCAAAAATCAAACTTTTCATTATTAAAACATTTTTATGAGGTTAGGAAGTGATAACAGACTTGTGTTTAAAGTTGAACTGTTCCTTTATGCTACTGAAAACAAAAAAGTTTTGTTTTTCTAAATGGACCTACATGAACCGTCTTTAGATTCAGTTGATTTTGATGAGATGCTGTTTATATTGTGACTGATTCTCAAAGCAGCTACACCTTTCAGACTGTTAATGATCAGCATCACAGTCACTGGTGAACGTTTCTATTCAGGCGTAATAAAGGTCGTATAAGGCCGCAGGTTCTCTAGAAGTGTATTTCTCTTAGGAAACTCCAACCAGCAGCACATTAAAAACTCTTGCCCATTGTCTACAAGCATGTGTTTTCGAACACATCCCTCCCGGGAGGTCTTTAGTGAACACTGCACACTGCTTGTTTGTTTGTTTGTTTTAAGTGTGAAATGTGAGTCTGTGAGCTCACAGAAAACACATCCACACAGTCCTACATCCGTAGTGTTGTTACAGTTGGGCCAAAATGATTGGACATTATAGAAAAGTGGTCATGAGGAAAGAGATTATATCCTCAGATCGATAGATAGATAGATAGATAGATAGATAGATGGGTCATTCTGCATCAACTCAACCAGAGGTCCCCGGCAATAAAAAAAAAAAAATTAATTTCAATTTTCAAATTTTTTATTTTTTTTCCCCCTGGTTAAAGGAATACTTTAATGAAGATGAAAGGCAAACTATTAAATGTCATGGTTGTATATTTACTGAGTAATCCATTACTTTGTAGAGGGAGGTCATTTCGTGTCAAATCAAACAAATTTCAGAAATTCCCCTGGCTAAATGTTTATTTATTTATGTATTTATTTATTTATTAATCTATGTATTTATTTGTTGTTGTTTTATTTTTTTTTTATATGTCATGGATGTATATTTACAGTAATCCACTATTTTGTAGAGGGGGTCAAAATGACAGTTTTCACAGATTTGGAGAGATTTGGAGCTATTTTTCCACAGAGATGGTAGCTCTATTAATAAATCTGACTTAAGCAATCTTTGTTGAATTATACGCCAATGATGACACTTGGGAAAAAGCGCTTTCCAGTATTTTCTTCCCAAAGTTTGCATGTCTGTAACTCAAGAAGTATTAAATATATCTTAGTGTCCTATTATATTTTAGTTCTTAAACTTTTCTTTTAGTATCTCCATTTTTTGGCCCCTTTATGGTTCAGTTTCAGAGATATTAGGATGTCAATGTGGTTCCAAGAGTAAATTGTTAAATTGTACACATTTTCAGTGGTCAAAAACCAAATGTGGGTCACTTCTCATAGAGACGATCATTTTTATTTTAAAGAGGAATGTTTAAAGAACAAATAATATTGAAACTAGGAATGTATATTATTTCCCTCCATCAAAACAAATGCATTAAACATATCTTTCTGAGTGCCAAAAAAGTGTATTTTAAAAAAAGTGAGCATGCTTGTAACTCAAGAGGTATTAAAGTTATCTTAATATCCTTTTTGTTTGTAATCTTAATTTTTAAGGCCCTTTATGGTTCAATCCCAGAGATATCGGGATCTCAGTGCAGCTCCATGTCCAAATGGTTGAATCCTGCCCATTTTCAATGGTCAGAAACCAAATGTGGTTGTGTGTTTATCTAGTTATGACTGTTGACACTGCAAGCATGCAAATAATAACAGTAACCCAGGGTTTAGGAATGTACAGTGTGACATGTCAGGTTATGAATAACCAGGATTAATCATTAACTCCAGGTAAAGTATGAGCAGTGTGAAAAGTAAAACAAGATTAACCATTTAGAAAACAAGATACATCTGTAGTTTCAATATTGTTTATTCTTCAGACATTCTTCTTTAATTACAATAAGTATCAGCTGTATAAAAACAAAAGTGTCCAACATTTGGTTTGACCACCGGTTTGACCAACATTGACCACTGAATATGGGGAAAAATTAAACAATTTGGACATGGTGTCTTATTGAGATCCCCATATCTCTGGAACTGAACCATACAGGGCCATCAAAATAAAGATACCTAAAGAAAAGTGTGTTAAGAATTAAAATCTAAAAGGGTATTTAGGTATTTGGAATACTTCTTGAGTTACAGACATGCAAACTTTGGAGAGAAATACTCAAAAACTGCTTTTTAACAATTTTGAACTGTCACCACTGTTAGATAATGCAACAAAAATTGCTTAAGTCAGCATATTTTACTAATAGAGCTACCAATCTCTGTGGAAAAATGGCCTAAAATCTCAGGTGAGATGGATGATGGATGGGTGGATGATGGATGATGGATGATGGATGGATGGATGGATGGATGATGGATGGATGGGTGGATGATGGATGA